AGACTGCAGGGGTCCCCCTGATCGACGCGCCCTCACCCGACTTTCCTGACGACTTCAGCAGACCAGATGACTTCCACCCTGACAAGCGCTTTGGCCACCGATTACGTGATTTTGAGGGGCGAGGAGGACCTTTACCACAAGAAGAGAAGTGGAGGCGAGGGGGGCCCGGGCCTCCCTTTCCTCCTGATCACAGGGAGTTCAGCGAGGGGGATGGCCGGGGCGCAGCCCGGGGCCCGCCAGGGGCATGGGAAGGCCGCAGACCTGGAGATGAGCGATTCCCCCGGGACCCCGAGGACCCACGTTTTCGAGGGCGCAGAGAAGAAAGGTGGGGCAGATACTCTGTGGGTCTGTTTCTTCTTCCCTGGAGCTTTTTGTCTATTTTCCCCACAAAGTCTCTTTTTCACTTGTAGCCTATACTCTCCACATTTTGCATTTAGACTTTTAAAAAAATTATGCTTTTTAACCTTTATGTGGTTCTTTTGTCTTTACAAAAGAATGTGGAAATCATTTTTTCTTTGCATCTTTTTGGTTGTTTTAAAGTAATGGGAAGATTTGCATACTACAAAGTTTCTTGGAACGGATTAGAAATTTCCAGGTTCTGTGGATTAGAATGATGAAAGACGAGACAGATATATAGATGAAGAATAAAGGAATTGTTCAATAGACAGTTCTTGTGAAATTGCCTAAAGATCCTAACAAAATCAAATCAGTGCTGTTAAAATAGGTCAAGGTCAGTCTTGAATGAGCACTCAGCTTGCTTGGGGTAAAAAAAGAACACAAGAGCCTGGCCAGTGTGGTTCAGTGGTTGAGCATTGGCCTGTGAACCAGAAAGTCACGGTTCCCAACCAGGGCACATGCCTGGGTTGCAGGCTTGATCCCCAGTGAGAGGCGTGCAGGAGGCAGCCAATCAATGATTCTCTCTCATCATTGATGTTTCTATCTATCTCTTCTTTTCCCTTCCTCTCTGGAATCAATATTTTTTTTAAAAAGTAACACAGGAAATATGGAGGGGAAAAAAATAAAAATAAAAAAATAAGAGAAATATGGAGAAAAAAAACTAGAATTAGTGAAATTTCAAGAGAGACTCAGAATAGTCAATGAAGATGATATTTACTGTGTGCTATTTAGCCTCGTTGTTACAGTGAATTGTCAGACAGGTGTCACTGTAAACATTTTACAGATACGGGGCCACACTGAGAATCAGCAGTTTCTTGACCTTTGAAGGCCCTGCAGGGCCCATGCTGTTCAGCACTCCTCCCTGCTCCACCTCAGTCTTCTGCTCATCTCTCTTCCCATCACAGTTCTCACTACTGTTGCTAGGAGGTGACTGAGTTAAGGGTTGGCAATCCCTATCCTCACAGGATGTGTTAGAAAAGGTTGGCTGATAAAAGGGCCGCAGAGGGTGAAATAGTGGGTTAAGGAAAGCAGCTATTGGAAGGGAGTTTTGGGGGAAAAAAAAAAGGTTTAAGGGCTCCCAGTTTTTTTTGTGTGTGTGTGTTTTATTTTTATATATTTTATTTTTTTACAGAGAGGAAGGGAAGAGGGATAGAGAGTTAGAAACATTGATGAGAGAGAAACATCCATCAGCTGCCTCCTGCACACCCCCTACTGGGGATGTGCCCACAACCAAGGTACATGCTCTTGACCGGAATCAAACCTGGGGCCCTTCAGTCCGCAGGCCGACGCTCTATCCACTGAGCCAAAGCGGTTAGGGCAGGGCTCCCAGTTTTCATAAGGGCCTTTCTTTATGATAGCCAGGTATTCACTCTGAAGTGGCTTTTTGTCTCTGCAGGCGCCTCATTTCCAATGGCTTTGGCAGCAACAGGACTTTGATTTCTTGAGTCTCTGCATCTTGCACAGTTTCAGATTTACTAAGCCTCAGTTTGTGCTGTGTTTCGTCTAAACTGTGCTGCTCTTTGGAGATGCCCACCAGGCTTTTGGTCCTGCTGTGCTTGCTGCTCCCTCTGCCTGGGACTCGGTTCCCAAACGGTGTGGCTCACTTCAGGTGGACCTCTCCTCCTGCTACACCCAGGCCTCTACTCTGCTTTCTATTGCTTCACAGCACCTGGCACTGTGTGACACTAGTGCTGTGTCCATTTCGTCCTCTCTTGCATCCCGCGGCGCTCCCTGAGGGTAGGGCTTCGCTCACCCACCACTGAGGCCTCAGCACTTGGAGCAGCATTCGTGTCGCAGCAATGTGATGGAATGAACCTGTTAGATAAGGAAGGAGAGGCATTTGAGAGAGGTCAGCTTGTTAGGAGCTCAGGCTGCTGTAACCAAATTCCATCCTGCTAGGCGTAAGCAACAGAAATCTCTTTTCTCACAGTTCTGGAGGCTGAAAGTCCCAGATCAGGACCCAGCAGGGTGGTCTCTGGTGAGACTTCTCTTCCTGGCTTGCAGACGGCCACCCTCTCCCTGTCTGCAACTGGAGGGGAGTGAGCAAGCTCTCCCTGGTGCCTCTTCTTAGAAGGCCACTGAGCCCATCATGAGGGCCCCATCAGTAAACTCTAATGACCTCAAAGGCCCATCTCCTAATATCATCACATTTAGGTCTTCAACATGTGAATTTTTTTTTTTTTTTTGGTGGCGGGCGGGGGTGGTGGTGTGTTACACAAACATCGAGATCTTAACAGGAGCTGTTTTCTGATTAGAGCATCTTAGATTCTCTCTGTTTTCTTGTAACGAGGGCAGTTGCATGATGGTTCCTGGGCGAGAGTCCTGCTGCGTTTGGGGGTTACCCCTGTGCTTCTCGGGGCAATAGTGCTGTCTGCTTTTCCTCTTCCTGCTCCGCCCCTCTCCTGGCCATTCCACCCTTACCTTTTGCTGTGATTTCAGCCAGTGTGCTGGTCATCCCCCTGTGTGTGCAGGAACATGACTCAGACGTTACCTCAGGCCAGGCTCATCACTGGAAGCTAAAGCCATTGGGGACAAGATTGTGGGGACAGGGGTACCTGCAGAGGAGATTGCCTTTGTGCAGTGAGGTGTGGGCCCTTCCACCTGTACACCATAATCCATGAAACAAACAGACGCCACTTAGAAGTGTAAGGATGTTTAACCGGAATCTAATCATGAGGAAACAATCAGAAAAGTTCACATTGTGGGACATTCTATAAAACACCTGGGTGACCTTTCAACAATGTCAAGATCACAAAAGATAAACTAGGGAGGTGGACAGTTGTGGATTAAAGTAGAACACAGAAACATGACTACGAGTGACAATAAGTGATTATGACAAATTCATATTTTAAAACAACTGTAAAGGACATTTTGAGGACAAGTGGAGACAGTTGAATGAGACTATAGAATAAACAATATTCCATGTTAGAGTAGTAACAGTATGTTATAGGAGAAACGGTGTTTTTAGAAGGAACATACTGTAGTATTCAGGGATGATGCACATGCCAGCAGCTGGTTTTAGAATGGTTTAGAACATGAATCTGGAAACAGGTGGATAAAGAGAAGCTAAAGCTCATGTGCGCAACTGTAAGAACTGATTAATCTAGGTGATGGATATATGGGCTTGTTCTATTTTTTCAACTTAACTGTAAATTGGAAAAATTTCAAAGTAAAATGGAGCAAAAGATAATAGGATGGAGACTCAAGGAAAAGCAGAAGGCCTGGCCTGAAGGAAGTCCCGGCAAGTGGCTCCTGCGGACCAGCCCACGCCCTTGCCGCCTTCTGACCCTTCTCGCTGCCTGGGGCCTCCTGGCTCACGCGCCCTTCCCGCTTGCAGGCCCCTGTTCTGCTGCCCCCCAGCTTCAGCAACACCCCCGCTGACTGACTCCCAGTCCAGAATCCTGAGGGAGGGAAACTGTCCACTAGCCGGGGCACCAGCCTGCCCATGAGCCGATACCTGCTGTCACTAGTCTGCTGTGGAGCAGGGCTGTGGGTGACAGTAATAGCCACCCCTGTGTAGAGACTGGCGTGGGGGCCAAGGCAGAGGCCCCCAAATATGTCTGTCACAGTTGGCAGGCATGGGCCCACACTCTCCTTTTTTCCTGATTATATAAGTGTTAAATATTCATTACAAAAATTTCAATGATAATGAGAAGTATTTGGGAGCAATGGTAAAGAGCCTGGGCTGAGGGGCAAGATTGGCTGAGTTCAAACCTGAGTGCTTATGTGTATCCTTAAATCCATGACTTAATCTCTCTGTGCCTCAGTGTTCTCATGGGTAGAATAGAGTTAGTCATAATGCCAGCTTCATGGGGTGGCTCTGAGGGTGGAATGAAATGAATAATGTAAAGCGGTTGGCATGATAGAAGCACTTAAAAAATGCTCACTGCTATTATTATTCCTCAAAGCCTAAAAATATTAAAATAATTCTACATTCTGATGTTTACTTCCTGCCTGTTTTTGCCTGTAATATTGGGATTGTAAAATGTGTACTTTTAAAAATGCACAATTTTACTTTTTCTCCCATTTAACTTTGTATCCTGTCTTCTTATATCATACTAGAGGCCTGGTGCATGAAATTCGTGCATGGGAGGGGGGTGTCCCTCAGCCCAGCCTGCACCCTCTCCAATCTGGGACCCCTTGGGGATGTAGTCGGATTGCCCTCCCCTGCCGGCCTGATCTCGCCCCCAACTGCCCCCCCTCCCCCAGCCTGATGGCCCCCAACTGCCCTCCCCTGCTGGCCATTTTGTGAGGGCGGCCATCTTGTGATGACATTGCGTGAGGGCATCGCACCACCTAGGCTTTTATTATGTAGGATGCTTTCTTGGAATGTGAATGTAGAGCTGTAAGGTCCATATTGATGAGGTGACCGTCTGCTGCTTTCCTCACAGTTTCAGAAGAGGAGCCCCCCCGAGACACGAAGGCCGGGCTCCCCCCCGAGGAAGGGATGGCTTTCCTGGTCCTGATGACTTCGGTCCAGAGGAGAGCTTTGATGCTTCTGAGGAAGCTGCCCGTGGAAGAGACCTCCGGGGCAGAGGTCGGGGTGCCCCACGAGGTATGTGCTGAGGACACTGGCTCCGTGAAGGGCAGGGCTGTGGAGGTCAGAGTTGGGAACACACCTGACACAGCACGTGAGTGTGGTGTTTTGTTCTTTGTGTAGGAGGAAGGAAGGGTTTACTTCCCACTCCTGATGAATTCCCTCGCTTTGAAGGAGGTCGGAAACCAGACTCCTGGGATGGAAGTCGAGAGCCAGGTAAGGCAGACCACCTCCCGTGGCTGTGGTGACTCCAGGCAGCAGTTCCCGGACCCTGGGGCCTGAGACCCTCCAGGTCCACCAGGTTCTCTCTCTTCCAACTGGCATCACCGCGGAGGCTGGGCTGTTTTCACGCCTCCAGCCAGCAGCCTCACTGGCGAGGAGAGATGGAGTGCAGAGACGGCTGAAGGCCCGGCTTGCTTCCCGGGAGCCGGGCATTTCTGCAGGGATTGGCCTGGATAGAAAACAGCAGCACTCTTTTCACTTCATTGTTTTGTTTTTGGAAAAGGTAGTTAAGCGAATTAAAGTTTTCTCCATCTTAATTGCTAATATGGCAAATATTGTTAGCTATAACTCTCATGAATGAAATCTCTTTGGGGTCCCCAGAAATGTTTAAGGCTGTAAAGAGATCCTCAGACTTAAAAGTTTGAGATCCACTTTTCTGGACCTTACCTGCCTCTTAATTTAGGGGGTAGGTTGATTTCTGATCTTAACCTTTTATATGTGCTCATGGTATGTTTCTTGCATGAGTGAATGTTGGTTCTCACATTGCTACTAATTCTTAACAGTATAATTTCCGTCTGCTGTTGGTCATATTGTAATATAATGGGATTGTCAGATTCTTAGCCTTGTCCATCTGCGTTTCTGTTTCAGGGCCAGGTCATGAACATTTCCGTGATGCTCCCCGCCCGGACCATCCCCCTCACGACGGTCATTCCCCAGCTAGCAGAGAGCGTTCCTCTTCTCTCCAAGGCATGGACATGGCATCCCTGCCACCTCGAAAGCGCCCCTGGCATGATGGGCCAGGGACCTCTGAGCACAGAGAAATGGAAGCCCCCGGGGGTCCTTCTGAAGATCGAGGAGGCAAAGGTAAGTGGAGGCCAGTTTCCAATTCTGGGAGCTGTGGATGCCACAGCTGCCAGAAAGCCTGCGGGACCTCTGGAGGCCTCATCTCCAGGCCGCCCTCCTGGGAATGCCTGTTCCAGGGCACTGTGCTACCCTCCAGGGCTTAGGCTGCGGGAAGGCACATGTTCCCAAATGTGGTGCAGATGCAGTTTGCTTGGGCTCACCCTCGGGCAGTCGGCGCTCTCACTCAGGACTGCAAGTTTGCCTTCTGCACAGGTCTCCTCCACTTGCTTGCAAGAATCTCTGCTTTGCCCTGGCGGGTGTGGCTCAGTTGGTTGGGCATCATCCTGTGCACCAAGAGGTCATGGTTCGATTCCCAGTCAGGGCACATGCCTGGGGAGTGTGCAGGAGGCAGCTGATCGATGTTTTGCTCTCACATTGATGTTTCTGTCCCTCTCCCTTCCTCTCTTTCTCTCTCTCAAAATTCTTAAAAAAAAAAAAAAAAAAAAGAACCTCTGCTTTGTTCAAGTTCAGCTCTTTGTCAGGATGCCCAGCACTGTCGCTGTTGGTGGTGCTTTTTGCACTGACGCCTGCTCGGAACCCTGGAGGTCTCCGCCGTGCGTGGCGGCGGGACTGGTCCTCTCCCAGGCTCCAGGGTTTCACTGGTGTGCCCACAGTCACAAAGACTGGGCAACATGGCCTGGAAGGGGTTGTTTTCAAGTGGGGGCATTAAGATTATTTCTACAACTTTTGGATCTTTATTATTATTTTTAAAATATGTGTTTATTGATTTCAGAGAGGAAGGGAGAGGGAGAGGGAGATAGAAACATCAATCATGTGAACTGACTGGGAATTTTGAACTGTGACCTCCTGGTTCATAGGTCAATGCTCAACCACTGAGCCACTCAGTTGGGCTGGATCTTTGTTTTTGATGCAGCACTAACGTTTAGCCAGGGCAGGAGCCACCAAATGCTAACGACAGGTCTGGTCTCAGGTTAGACGGGACTGTGGTACGGGGTGTGGTGTGGAGGCTGCTGGAAAGACCTCCATGTGCTCCAACTTGTGCTCCACGCCCCAGGTAACCTGCCTCCCTGACAAAGTTCTGGCTTTTGTTCTTGCCAGTTATTTGGTCCTTCTCCTAGCAAACCCCTCAGAATGTGCCTCCTGCCACCAGATCTCCCGTCTCAGCACACATTTTGCTGCTGGTCCGTATGGGCACTCAGGACACCGTTTAGGTCCTTGGTCGAGGCCACGTGCCTAGTGTGAAAATTATATCCCAACTGACAGCTGCTTTGCCCTTGCACCTTCTGTGGGTCTAGGCTGCACTTTGTAAGAAAAGAAGCTAAAATTATTCCTTTGGCTAACTTTCCTAACCTGTCTTATCTGGACTCAGTTGCATTCAAAAATTTAAGGCAAAAGGAGTTGTCAATATTCTTCTGATAATGCATTATGGGAGAGGTGGCCAAATCCTATCATCTCATGAGGAAAAAAAATTTAAATCAGAATTTTAATGATACCTAAGTTTGTGTGTCCAAGACTAGAACAAATAAAACTATCCCTGGGAGAAATCATTCTAAAAGCTAGTATTTTTCTTTCTACGCTTTTGTTTTTCAAGAAATATTTTATTTCACTATTTAAAAGGAAATCAAAAGTGCCACATGGCTGTGGCCTAACCCTAGTGAACACGTGTTCTAGGTTAGCATTTGTAATTGCCTTCACTGCAGGTGCTTCCTGAGTTCAGTCAGTGCTGTGCAGGCTCGCCCTCAGAATAGTCCTGTGGCACAGGAGGGTGAAGACACTGCCTTGCAGAGCGTGTCTAGCTGATGTGGAGGGGCATGGCCCCCAGCCAGGCTGGGAATGAGACAGCGGTCAAGAAGAGAGTAGAGGCACAACCCTTAGTGCACTGAATGCTCATGTCCTTAGAACTGTTTTAAAGAAAGACCCACAAGTATTGTACTGTCATCACAGAGTAAAAGTTTGTACCAGGAGTTATCAGTAGTCTCTGATATTAAAAAGTCACATGTCAAATCAATGTTTCCTTTTAGGCCGAGGGGGCCCAGGACCTTCCCAAAGAGTGCCAAAATCTGGGCGTTCCAGCTCCTTGGATGGAGATCACCATGATGGATACCACAGAGATGAACCTTTTGGGGGCCCTCCAGGCAGTGGTACTCCTTCCAGAGGGGTCCGGAGTGGCAGTAACTGGAGTAGAGGGAGTAACATGAACTCTGGTCCACCACGGCGAGGAGCTTCAAGGGGTGGTGGAAGGGGCCGGTAGAAGTTGGGGTTGAGTCCCCCTCGGCCTCTCTGGACAGTATTTAAAAACTCCTTGTGGACTTACCAAGAGAAACAAAAGGAAGCCTGCACCTTGTAGCCCTGAACTCTTCTGGGGCAGCTGAGTTCCCGGAGCCCCTGAGGTCTTCAGGGTGAAGAGACTGCTGCTGGCCCCGGAGCAGCTGCCTTGTCTGTCCTGTCCACCTCACTGCCCAGCTCCTGCATTGTTTTGTGAAGATAAAAGCTGGAATTTTTTTTTTAAGTGTCGCGAGACAAGGAGCACCTCCTCAAAATTAAGTTCATGTTCAATTGGAAATTTGTTTCTATATGTACAGTTTGTCAGAGAAAAAACATTAAGTTGTTTTTGTATGAATACAGAATGTGATTTATGCAAGAATTAACAGAAAAGAACTAGTTGTGATGTGCTTGCCTTAAGGAAACCCTGAGTTTCCATGCATCCAGTCTGTGGAGGGTGTACAGTTAGTGCTTATCCTTGTAAGCACACTTGATGGAACCGCTATAAGTCTCTAAATTTCACCTGTGAACTTTGTTTTTAAACAAATTCTCATCCAGCCATTCTGTATTTTTGTAATAGAGTGAGAAATACCTTAAAACTATAACATAGGTTGAAGTAGATTCAAAGCCTTGGTTAAACATCTTCTGGCAGATGGAGAATTATACTATGAAAATACTCTCATTATCCAAGTAGGGGGGCTCTCCCTTGGGCGCATCTTCTAGTAATAACCTTAGACTTGAACTGCCTTGTTTCCGACTAGAGGAACTTGATGGAAGCCAGAAATTAACTACATGTATCCTTTTGATGACTGTACATCATTTCACAAATTGTTTAAGTTGAAAAGAATGGACCAAAATGTCTAAAACAACTTTGTAAAACTTCAATAATTGCTTTCTCTTCCATACCAGCGTTTATAAGTCTGAGTATAGTCCTAACTTAAAGCCAGGAAGTTACTGTCTACAACAAATTCCTTTAGTTTTAAATGTTACATTTGGCTCCATTTGGAATGGATGCCAAAAGTTCAGTTTGAAAGGGCTCCATAATACTTTCTATACTGGCCCTTATTTTGTTTTTATACGAGGAAAGTTTCTATTGGAGTTTGGCATTGGGGACAAGTCTGCTGGGCAAACGTAGTGGTGCTGGAAGTCTTAGTAGCTGCTTAGAAACTCCCTTTTCTAAGGGATAGTTTAACAGCATATGCAAAAAATTGTAAAAGCTGTAATTTTTGCAGAGTGAGAAAATGGCAGTCACCCATTCAGGGTATCAGAATCTCTGAAGTATAAGTGGATAATTTTCTCTTATTTATCAGTACCTCACTGCAAACATGACTGGGTGGCTCAAGAATGCTTTAGGTTTGTGGATATTCTTTATTTGCCCTCCACTGGTAAATATCAATTCTGAGAAGCAGAAGAGGGATTCTCTTTTTCTGAGAATATGGTAAGAAACTTTGTAACATTTTAGGCTTTAACTTTAAAACACAGTAAGCAGAATAGGAGATCACATTTAAGAAAAGTTTTTATTGAGTTCAGAGAGAGGAAGGAAGGAGAGAGGGATAGAAACATCAATGATGAGAATCATAGATCTGCTGCCTCCTGCACGCCCCCCACTGGGGATCAAACCAGCAACCAGGGCAATGTGCCCTGATCAGGAGTCAAACCTTGACCTAGTTCATGGGTTGGTGCTCAACCACTTGAGTCACACCGGCCAGGCCAGATCAAATTTTGAGTATGAATTCAATTAGAAAAAAGTGAAATCTCTACACTATATATTTATGAAATACTTAGGAGATACATATATACATTTTAAAGCATCACTATTGAAATACATGGTGGTTTGACTTTTATAAAAGCTAGATTTTCAGTGTTGAATTCTTGAGAAAATGTTGGGAAAGCAATATTGACAAATAACATCATAAAAATGTGCTAATTATGATAAAATCTCAGTTGTGAAAATTCTAGAGAAATTTAGAATTAGAGATTTAACTGGCAGGTAGTAAGAGCAGCCAGGGGCACAAGATTTTCCAGTTAAAAAAATAAATCACTCCCTGGAAACTGCATTTGCTTTTACAAACACCCTCTTGGTTTTTCCACTTGAGGTAGGTAACCCTGTTTACCGGTCCAGGAAGAGGCATTATCTTAACAGAACACTGGGAAGGGGGTGCTGGGAGTGGCCTGAGAGCCGCCTGTGGGTGCATCACTAGTCACTTCCTGTGGCAGGAGCATTCCCAGGGCCTAGGAATATGGAGGTTGAGTTCCACGCAGAGGCCGTGCTCGCCTGCCACCTGCCACACCTGTTCAGGCAACAGGAACCCAGCCCCAGGGAACAACCTGCGACCTGCATCCCCTGCCCCTTCGCGCACAGCAGCCCCAGGCTGTCGGACAGCCGCCGAGGTCGAGGGGAGTGATCTGAAGGGAGGCTCTTCAAGTAACTGATGCCAACTGAGAACCGCCGAAATGCTTTTAAAGTCCTACATTCATTTCACATTCCAGTTGATACATAGTGGCAAAACGTGGAGTTTATGGGCTCATCAGAATACCCAGCCCATACTTTCTGGCAATAAATTCAGGTGTGCAATCAAGTCATAGAAAACGTGCTGAACCCAAAAGGAAACTCAATCAGATATGAAAAGCATCGTACATTGCATTAGGATTGGCCTACAGTTCGCTTCAAAAGCAGATTAAAAAAATTAAGATTATACTTGACCGGTTTCCATCAAACATGGGAGCTCTGGTTGTGGAATTCTCAGTTCCGTCAGCGGCCTCTCCGCGCATCAGCCTGCGCTCCGCCGACCGCGGTCCGTGGGGCAGAACATGCCCACGTAGGGCCGGTCGCCTGCTGGGCATCCACACCGGTCCCGTGTTTTTAGGACCGGCTCCCCGGCAGGGCGCAGCCGGTCAGTGATCTCCCATCAACGTCTAAAGCGTTTACTGACCAAACCGTGGCCTCCTGGCGCCGCCACTGCGCCCGCCGGCCGGGCAGCAACACGGATTGTTAGGTCCATGGCTTTCTTCAAACCTCATAAAGCACATTCACAATTTCAATAAAAGAAAAACAAAAGACGGCGTGAACCCTCGTAAGTACTTAAAAGTGTCCGGTGGCTAAGTTTACTGTTTCAACATCCCTTCATGGATCCGCTCACACTGAAGAATGAGGGTAAATCACTGACAAGCTATGGCAGCTACACGACATCCGCCACCGGGCTCCGAGGCCGGAGGACCGCGCTCGGCGCAAGGCGGTCGCAG